GTATACAAGAGACCCACTTAATCCACAAGGAAAAGACTGAAAGTAAAAGGATGGAAAACAGTTCTCTATGTGACAGGACCCCTGAAAAAAGCGGGGGTAGCTATCTTATTTGCAGATAGAACAGATTTCAAACCAAAACTAATTAAGAGAGACAAAGAAGGCCACTACATCCTTGTAAAGGGAACAATACACAAGAAAGAAATGACAATCATAAATATATATGCACTGAATACTTTCCCCCTACTACACAAAACAAATATTAATGGATATGAATAATGAAATAAGCACTAATACAATTGTAATGGGGGACCTAAATACTCCACTGACATAAATATACAGCTCATCTAGACAAAAAAATCAATAATGAAATAACAGAATGGAACCAAGTCTTTGAAGAAATGGATGTAGTAGATGTCTACAGCATGTTCCACCCCCCAAAAAATCAGAATATACATTCTTTTCGGCTGCAGATGGGTCATTCTCCAAAATAGACCACATGCTAGCTCATAGAACATTCTTAATTAAATGCAAAGGAATTAAAGTTATCCCCTTTGTATTATCAGACCATAGTGCAATTAAACTGGAGATCAATAGCCTAAGAAACCACAGGAACTTCACAACCATTGGGTCACAGGGGAAATTAAAGAAGAAATTAGACAGTTTCTACATTTAAATGATAATGCAATACAACATACAGGAATCTATGGGACACAATGAAAGCAGTTCAATGAGGGAAATTCATAGCAGTGAATGCCCATACTAGAAAAACATAGTGAACTCAATTAAGCCACCTAATGCTTAACCTTAAGCTCCTAGAAAAAGAAGAGCAAGGCAAACTGAAAGCTAATATGAGGGAGGAAATTATAAAGATCAGAGCAAAAATTAATGCAATGGAGACTAAGAATGATACAAAAAAATCAATGAATCAAAGAATTGTTTTTTTAAAGAATAAATAAAATTGATAAACCCTTAGCCAACTTTATCAAAAAAAGGAAAGAAAAGGCTCAAATTGATGCAATTACGAATGAAAAGTTTAAGTCACAATAGATCCACTAGAAATCCAGATCATCAATACCTACTTTGAAAACCTGTACTCTAATTAAATGGAAAATACACAAGAAATGGACAGATTCCTAGATACATATCAACTTTCAAAGTGGAATGAAAAAGACTAAAAACAAAAAGGCCAGGCATGGTGGCTCTCGCCTGTAATCCCAGCTCTCGGGAGGCTGAGGCAAGAGGATTGCTGCTGTGAGTTGGAGACCAGCCTGGGCTACACAGTGAGTTCCAGGTCATTCTCAACTACATAGTGAGACCCTGTCTCAAAAAACCAAAAAAAATTAAAAAAAAGTTGAATGAAGAAGATGTAAAAAGTCTAAACACCTAATTACATTCAGTGAATTTGAAAATGTAATTAAAACATTACCAACGAAGAAAACCCAGGTCCTGATGGCTTCATTGCTGAATTCTACAAGACATTTAGAGAACTATCACCACTACTCTTTAAACTCTTCAATGAAATTGAAAGGGAAAAAAATACTTCCAAATTCATTTCTGGAAGCAAGTATTACATTGATTCCAAAACACGGAAAGACCCAACCAAAAAAGAGAACTAGAGGCCAATCTCCCTAATGGACATAGATGCAAAAATCCTCACTAAGATACTGGCAAACAGAATACAGAAAATCATCAAGAAGATCATACACCCTGACCAAGAGGGATCTATCCCAAGGATACAAGGATGGTTCAACATATGTAAATCAATAAATGTAATACACTATATTAGCAGAGCCAAAGACAAAAACCACAGGAGCATCTCAATAGATGCAGAAAAAGCATTTGAAAAAATTCAACACGAATTTGCTATAAAAACCCTACAGAAAATTGAAATAGATGGTCTTTATTTCAACCTGATAAAGGCTATGTATGAAAAACCACCAGCCAATATCATACAAAATGGTCAACAACTGAAAACTTTCACGTCAAAATCAGGAAAAAGATGAGGATGACCATTATCACTACTCCTGTTCAATATAGTTCTAGAAACATTAGCCACAGCAATTAGACAAGAAAAAGAAATAAAAGGAATAAAGATAGGAAAGGAAGAAATTAAAATGTCACTATTGGCTGATGATACAATACTCTACCTAGAAGACCCAAAAAACTCTGCCAAAAGACTTCTAGACTTAATTGACAGATTCAGTAGAGTAGCTGGATGCAAGGTCAACACTCAAAAATAAATAACCTTCTTGTACACAAATAACAGACTCACTGAGAAAGAAATTAGGAAACAATGCCTTTCACAATAACATTCAAAAAATGAAATATCTAGGAATCAATCGAATCAATCTAACGAAGGAGACAAAAGACCCCTACACTGAAAACTACAGCACTCTGAAAAAATAGATAGAAGAAGATATAAGAAAATGGAAAGACATCCCTTGCTCCTGGGTAGAAAGACTCAACATAGTGAAAATGGCCATACTTCCAAGACTGCTATATAAATTCAATGCAATCCCAACTGAAATCCCAATCATATATTTCACAGAACTTGAGAAAACAATCCAAAAATTCATTTGGAAACAGAAGAGACCAAGAATAGCAAAAGCAATTATTGGCAACATAGACATGGCAGTTGGTATCACAATCCCCAATCTGAAACTATACTTCAAAGCCACTGTGATAAAAACAGCATGGCACTGGCAAAGAAACCCAAGGGTCAATGGAATGGATGAGAAAATGCAGAAACAACACCAGACATACTCAGCTACCTCATCTTTGACAAAGGAGCCAAACATCTTCACTGTAGGAAAGATAGCCACTTTAATAAATGGTGTTGGAAAAACTGGATTTCTACTTGCCAAAGCTTAAAACCAGACCCACATCTTTCACCATGCACTAAACTAAAATCCAAGTAGATTAAAGATCTAAATCTCAAAACAGAAACACTAAACTTACTGGAAAATAAATTAGATAGAACTCTCAAAGACATTGGCATAGGAAAAGACTTTCTGAACAATCCTCAGCAGGACAAGAATTTGTACAAGGAATCAACAACTGGGATCTCATTGTACAAAAATGTTTTTGTAGTGCAAGAGAAATCAACAACACAGCTAAGAGACAACCTACAAGGTGGCAAAAAAAAAAAATTACCACCTACTCCTCAAACAAAGGACTACTATCTAGAATATATAAAGAATTCAAAAAATCGGACCCCCAAATACAAAGACCTGATTCAAAAATGGGCATCTAAAATGAACAGACATTTCTCAGACAAGTAAAAGCAGCAAATATGTATATGAAAAAATATTCAACATCACTGGTCATTCGAGAGATGCAAGAAAACAACACCAAGATTCCATTTCACCCCAGAAAGAATAGCCTCTATCAAACAATAAACTAATAACAAATGCTGGCAGGTCTGTGGAGAGAAAGAAATCCTTCTCCATTGTTGGTGGGAGTGCAGACTAGTGCAACCACTGTGGAAATCAATATGGAGACACCTCAAAGAACTAGGATTAGAGGTCCCATTTGACCCAGCCATCCCTCTGCTGAGTATCTGTCCAAAAGAATTTAAAAATTATACCACAGTGATATATGCACACCCATGTTTATAGCAGCACAGTTTGTAATAGCTAAAACTTAGAAACAACCCAGATGCCCATCAACTGAAGACTGGATAAAGAAGATGTGGTTTTTCTATAAAATGGAGTACTATTCAGCCACAAAGAATGAGAAACTAGAGACATTTACAGCTAAATGGATACACAGTGAAGGTATACTCTTAAGTGACGTAAATAGGACACACTTGAGTAAATACTGAATCATTTCTCTAGTGTAAAAAATTAAAAGTGTAAATAAGGTTCAAATGGTATAATTGATAATGTGACATAGGAAGAAATGGCCAAAGGGGAAGTAGGGATGGGAAAGGAAATAAGGCAAAGAAAAAAATGTGAAAAAAGGAAAAAATGAAAACAAAGAGTTTGTAAATAGGTAAGGGTGAAGAGGGTGAAGGGAGGGCAGGGGTATGGGGAAAAATAAGAACCAAGATATATCATGTAAAGGTACAAGAGCCCAGTGATAAAAGTAAGTGTATTGTTTGCTTTAAATGTACCAATAAACTTAACGGAAAAAAAAGAGTGACAATTCACTGAACACTGAAATCCTGTACAGTTCTGAAATTCCAAAGGATTGCTCAAATATACTCCTTCTAATAAAGCCTTCTATTCTAAAGCAGTTTCCCTTTCCCTTGTCTACTCTACTACTCCTAACAGAGAGCTCAGAGAACTTCAGGGATCACCCTTAGGACTTGGAACAACCTTCTTAAGTCTTCTCACATCATCTGAGAGGCTGATGATAGGAGCATGGTTTAGGAGATAACATAGAAATATCTGGTGTGTATACATGAAGGGGTCTTGCAGAGAGGGATTCTGACAGCCTGGGAGTGCCTGAACTCTCAGGGTGTGGAAAGAATATTTTTTGTCTGCCCCAATCTGCCCTAGAGTGGATTTTTGACATGGGCAAAAAGTTCCAGAGGTAAGCCACTACCCTCTGAGCCCTTCAAGATTAATGTGGCCCCTAACAAGCTGGAGTCAAAGGCTATAGTCTAGGACCTGTTTCTCCTGACCCAGTCCCCTGGAGTTTGGCCTCTGTCTGCAGCTGAGGGGCCCCATGGCACTGTTGCTTGGCAATGCATTAAACAGCAGACCTTGGAGACTAGAGTGGAGTTGACACAACCATAACTGCCACTGCCATCACTACCTTCTCGGAAAGCAGCCACCTGTCTGGCCTCTGCTTTTGTCTGACTGCCAACCTAAGGCATGTGCCTACGCAGAATGTGATGACATTCTGGCTCTACTTGCAAAGGTTTTTTTTTTTTTTTTCCTTTCTCATGTGTTATTTCAAAAGATAACAAAGGTCAAAAGGCACCCAGCATTTTCTGGTTTCTCATAAGCTTCTGGTCAATATTTAATCTGGTTTATGGATTTTTTTTTTTTTAGATTTTCTGGATGCCTTCTTGAGCCTGCTTGTGGCCACCCACAGAGACGTAAGGAGGAGAGAGATCAGCCTGGCAGACACTCTGAAATGAGAGATTAGAGGCTGTGATCCAAGGAGCAAGAGCCACAGCCAGAAGAACAAGGAACAAGCCTTGAAGATACATCTACTCAGACGTCTGCCATGGTATCTCTTGGCATCCAACTTGTGGGCTATATCCTAGGCCTTCTGGGACTGTTGGGCACAATAATTGCCATGCTGCTCCCCAGCTGGCGAACAAGTTCTTATGTTGGTGCCAGCATTGTGACAGCAGTCGGCTTCTCCAAGGGTCTCTGGATGGAATGTGCTACGCACAGCACAGGCATCACCCAGTGTGACATCTACAGCACCCTTCTAGGCCTGCCCGCTGATATCCAGGCTGCCCAGGCCCTGATGGTGACTTCCAGTGCAATCTCCTCACTGGCCTGCATTATTTCTGTGGTGGGCATGAGATGCACAATCTTTTGCCAGGAATCCCGAGCCAAAGACAGAGTGGCTATAGTGGGTGGAATCTTCTTCATTCTTGGAGGCCTCCTGGGCTTCATTCCTGTTGCCTGGAATCTTCATGGGATTTTGAGGGACTTTTACTCACCACTGGTGCCTGACAGCATGAAATATGAGATTGGAGAAGCTATTTATTTGGGCATTATTTCCTCTCTGTTTTCCCTGGTGGCTGGAATTATCCTCTGCTTTTCCTGCTCATCCCAACAAAATCATGCCAACTACTATGATGGCTACCAGGCCCAGCCTTTTGCAACTAGGAGCTCTCCAAAGCCTGGTCAACCATCCAAAGCCAAGAGTGAGTTCAACTCCTACAGCCTAACGGGGTATGTGTGAAGAACCAGGGGCCAGAGCTGGGGGTGGGCCTTGGCTGGGTCTGTGAAAAACAGTGGACAGCACCCCCAGTGCCATGGGTGAGGGACATTGCCCTTGGATTATGTCAGAAAGTGCTGCTGAGGATAGACTGGTTTTGGCCAATGGATCAAGTGAAGGCAAAGCAAGAGCTGATATGACAGCATAAACCAGCTTTTCTGTTTCTCTCATCTTGCCTCCATACCTCCATGCTCTGAGTTCTCAACTTTAAATTCCAAACCCCACCCCCTACCTTGGGCCAGACCCCCGCGGCTCCCTTCTGTCCTTTGGTTTGCCTGGGACTCCATTCCAAAACCTACTAATCACATCCCACTGACTGACTGGGACAAAGACTGTCCTGGTTGAGGTTGGCTCATAGCTCATTGTTGGGGGAGAAGGAGGAGTGGTGGTTTATATGGTATGAGTCTAACTTCCTTCTCAAACCTCCCTCCAAAGAGACTGATTGGTCAGTAATAGGCTCCAGAGTCTCTATCCCACTCTCGTTATGACTCTGGATTGTCTACACTGGTTTGTACACAAACTGAAAGAAATCTATCTTGCGGTATCCAGAGAACAGAAACTGGGCGCAGCATGGGAGGAAAGGAGGGAAGACTGGGACCACAAAAGACCAAAACCACTTCCTAGGATTTCCTCTCATTTGTGGGGCAAGAATCAAGCCCATGGCTAGAGGAAAACACAAAGAAAGAAGATGTGGAAAGTACAAAGCAGCAGCAGACTTTGACTTCACTGAGGAACTGCCTCAGAAGATGCAGTTTCAGCTTTCACTGAAGCCTCTGCCTTCCTCTGGGGTGCCCAGCCTTGCCTTCTACCTAAACTACAGACTAAGGGTCTTAGACAATGGTTTCCTTGGGAACAATAAACCAGTTTTTCTAGAACTTGACTTTGGCTGGGGATGACAGCACGGGCCTTGTGGGGGACTGAGAAAGATATTATTGTTTGACCTTGGTCAAGAAAGGGTATGAACTTTTGTATCTAAAAAGCTGGGTAGACAATGCTGTGGCTCTGGCAGGTGTTTCTGCTGTACCAATGAGAGGCAGCCCACTGGAGAGTCTTCAGGCCTAATGGAAAATCAGATCAAAAAGCAACACCCTGTGAGTCCCTTGCTACCCTTCATATTTCCCTTACCATCCATTAGAAGACATTTCACAGGTTACCCAAGAGCTCCAATGTATTCACATTGTATGCCCATGGTGCTGTGTTTATGATCTGAGCAATGATAACTGAGCTGCTTCTTGGGATTGCAGTTGAGGAAAGTAGAAAATGGTTCCTGGGCCGACAGTTCCACATCCAAGATCTGAAAATGCTCCATTTCCCTTGGAATCAGAGTGCAGACCATGAAGATTTGTCCTCATCAGCCCAATATGACCAGCTTCTGAAGAAATCCAGCACATCTCCCTAAACGTCAGTGCCAGCCAAAGGGGGACATTCATATTCTCTAACATGCCTTTCATTTTTCCACCATCATGCCTATGTGCAAACTATTCTCCCATCTAGAAACCCTTTCCCCTTAGCCAAGTCCTCCCCATTCTTAGAGAACTTTCTCAGCACCACATCCTCCAATGAGCCTTCTCTGACTATTTTATCCCTCTCTTACCCTTCCTCCTCCAAGCCTCAATGAAAAAATTGCTTCTTTATGCTTATCATTTGCAATTTTTGTTGACAATTCTATGTGTATGTGCATGTCTGACCTTAAAAACACACTGTAAACATTGGAGGGCAGGGGCCATGTTACATCTCTCTGTATACCCCAGACTATCTGTAACAGCTCTGAACACACAATAGGTGATCAATAAATACTTGTTGATTGAGTAACTGTTTTATTGATTAAGGCAGGGTATGTGTGACTGGAAGAAATTGGGCTAAGGGGAGGGAGGATGGAAGCTGGACTTTCTCATCACAGGGTGAAAAGAAAATTCCAAATTCTATGGAAACATAACAATACCCCTCACCAAGGAAACTAACCTCTTCATCTTGCCCAGGGCTCTTCCCTTTTCAGAATAATTGTTTTATTGAAGTTACTTACTAAATGGTTATGTTCTTCTTCCTTTCATTTGCTGAACCACCATTATGAGGCAGATGATATAGATCTGACCATCCCCATTTGGCAAACTAAAGTTCACACAAGTACAGTGATATTCCTAGAGCCATACAGCTGGTGTTACTTACAGCCTCTGATTCCTAAAATAGGACCCTGCTGATCCAAAAATATTCATAGCCAATAGAAAGAGCTGCCAGATATTCCCAAGCAGCTTAAAGAAGATAATTTATAGCCAGCAAGGTAACTAAAGAGGCATGACAGTGATTGGAGAAAATAGGAATTCACTGAGTGTACCACTTGGAACTATCCCCTCTTGCCATGCTAGCCAACTGGCCAGCCTGGGCCCAGCTAACTGTCTCACCAGGGCGATGCTAGGTTTACATTTGAACAAGACACAGCACCTTAGTTCCAATTTTCCTGATTCTGGAAGTGTGGGAGTGTGAAAGACCAATGATTTGACTACCCGGGGAATGAACAAAGCCTAATTCATAAGGTTGTTAACTAGAACAATACTGAGAGTAACAGGGCCTTACAGGAGTCAGCTTCATCAGCCCCTGAACTTAGGAGGCCTCAGCATGTAAGGCTCTTTTAACAGACACTGCCCTTGCACTTCTAATGTGAGCCTTCTTTGATGCAGAGATTAGAATTCCAGGGCTCAAGCCCATTTAGAGGGAATGGCAGCAGGAAGAAACATGGTGTATGTGTGTTGGGAGGCTCTATGGAGAAAAGCCTAACAAGAAGTCATGTCTCTGGTCTGACATCTGGAACCTCAGAGTGATGATTTCAACTAGAGGTTGAAAGGGTTGCTTTGCTGATTCTGCTGTGCTTGGGCAGGAGTTTGATATGAGTTCTGATGATCCACCACCTGGCAGCCAAAACACTTTCAGATCTACCAAATTTATCTTCTAAATACCTCAGTGAAGTAGGTCCTTTTAGCAGACAAAATGGAGGACAGAGGTGAATAAAATCTCTCAGGTTACAGTGTAAGAGTCTGAAAAATCAACCTGGAAACTCCTCACATGACAATGTGGGTTTGGAGTTAAGGTTGAAGACCTATGGCTCTTCAAACTCTGGAAAACTCCCTGTCCCTGTCTGCCACTGGAGTAGAAGGGCTTGTGAGGGAAACAAAGTGTAGAGTTTCTCTTTTCTTAGGGTGAGGTTAGCCTGAGGGTTCCTTAGACCTTTATTAATGTAGGAAATTTCAATACAAGGAATGAAAAGTTCATGTTCAACTAGAAAAACCAAGGAAAACTTGACAAAGAGCTACTGATCCCTCTGGCTGGTTGAGCAAGAAAAGCCTTGCTCTAAGTTTACTCAAAATCTTCCTGAGTCTGGGTCCAAGTTGAATAGCCTCCAGCTCCCCTATTACCTTCCATCATAAAACAATTTAGATTAACCATAGACCTAGGGGATACTGAAAGGCCATTGTGTTAAGGCCCTCACCTCCTAGCTCTGACCCTTGCACAAGGGGACATGTTTCTGCCCTCTTTCACTCCTCTGATAATAGTGTGACTCATGTTTTCTAAATCATGGGGCCCCAGTGACCCACTGCTACATGACATTAATGAAATTGGGGAGAACTAAACTGACTTCTTACCATAAAGGCCAGCTCCAACTTTCTGAGAGATCTTCACACAGCCAAATATTACCAGCCAGCCAGCCCACCCACACTAACTGAACTCTTTTTACTTGATGTCAGGCAATATGCTAAGGGCCATGAGGATGACAAGGGCGAACAATGTAAAGTCTATGCCTTGGAGGAATTGACAGATGATCTAGGGGAGAAAAGCCATGAATATCTAACTGTATTATAAGGCAGAATATGGACTGTCCCATCAAAAACAGGGAAAATTTGGCCTAAAATAGAGATATCAGAGGCTGAGCATGGTGGTGCATGCCTGTAATCCCAGCACTCGGGAGGCTGAGACTACATAGTGAGTTGCAGGTCAGTCTCAACTACACAGTGAGACCCTGTCTCAAAAAAAAATTGAAGTATCAGTAGCTGAGAAAAATATTTGTGTACATCCTCTTAATGGCCAATCCATACAAAATGAGGGCCTGGCACCACTTGAGCATTGTGGGGAAAGAATGTCAAAAGAAACTGCTTTCAAGGGCCAGGGATTTAGTTCAGTGGCTGAGTTACTATGGGAAATTAAGGAATAGGGTGAAATGCAGTGCTGTGGAGGAAACAGAGATACACCACATAGATAAGCCAACACTCTTTTGAGTCTGTCTCACAGAACCCTTAGGGATCTCTAAGAGATAGGGACCCTGATGCTCAGTCTCTGTTCTCTTTTTTCCCTGCTTTAGGCAGTTGTTTAGAAATTACTAGGCCAGCAGAGCCTTTTGGCTCTGAACTAGAGGAGAAACACAGATGTGAGAGTAAGAGGAGAGAAGAGACAGCTACACCAATAAAGTCTTATTTGCCTTTCTGAAATTACAGGAAGACAAATTCAGGTCATGCAGGGTCAACTGCTCTCCCCCACTCAGCCCCAGGCTCGCAGCAGGGGATTCTTTCATGCCTATAGTTGACTACTTTAGGACACAGAGACCCCAGGTTAGGAAGTGCCTGTTCTCTTCAGCTGGCTGAAGCCTGGCCTTCACCCAGCCTTCTCTCCCTGCCCCAGGGGCTCCTGGCTTTGATGGGAAATTTTGTTATCTCACAAGTGAAAGGAACCTTAACAGGAAGTCCAGCAGGTTATCTCTCTCTCTCTTTTGCCCTAAGTGTAGCTCTCACTGTATGCTGTGATGTGATCACTGATAAAAGATTAACAAGTTGTTACCAGGCACAGTGATACAGAGGCTATAAACTAACCACCCCCTCCTACCCACAACCCACCATTTTTCTGGGCATTTCCTAGTTAACCCTCACCTACAATTTCCTACCCTAGGCCTCATTGCTCCAGAAGACAAGCAGGAGTGTCTTAAGGTTTTAACAAAGCAGGCAGCCACTATACAAGGATATCATTAGGTCCCTTTTAAGACAGAGCACTTGCTTTCCTGTCATCCCTGGACCTCTATTCCTCCAGAATGACACCCTCACTACTTCACAAATCACCTCCTCTGATGACTTTGAAGAACATTATGGTTGCAAACAATGACCTTGGGGATGTAATACTGACAATACTCATATTCTTTTAAAAAGATAGTAGGGGGCCGGGGATTTAGCTCAGTGGTTCTGGTACCTGCCTCACAATCTCAAGGACCTGAGTTTGATCCCTGGTACCAAAAATAAAAATAAAATAAAAAGTAAATAAAAAGGTAGTAGGGAGTGTGATAGGATGTGATATTAGATGACAAATACTTACCAGTCATGTCGTAGGCAACCCCACATGTGAGTTTTACCTCCTGTTTTCCAACAGCGCTAATGTCTGAGGTTTTGTGGGGGTTGCTATGGAGAAAGACCAGTTACCTTAAAAGAACAAAGAGAAAATACTCCTTGCAGCTTATTTGCCCGAGTTTGTTTCTGGAATTATCCAGCAGGATGCAAGAAGATGGATCAGCATCTCCCACAAGAGATCTTTGAAGATAATGTGAAGGCCCTACTCTTTTGGCTTAAAAGCCCTGAAAGCCTTGATTTTAAATTCACGTATAGAAGATGACAGAGTAGCAATGTGAAACAGATAGTTTTGAGTGCCTGGGCTGATTTCAGTTCCCATCTTCACAGCAGCTGCGATTGCTGAGTAAAGAGAGCCTAGGGTAGCTGTTCAAGATGCCAAATATCAAAATCTTCAGTGGCAGCTCCCACCACAATATATCTTAGAAGATTGTTGACTGCTTAAACCTGAAGCTAGGCAAGGTGGTGACTAAGAAGTTTAGCAACCAGAAAACCTGCATGGAAACTGGTGAAAGTGTACAGTGGAGAAGATATCCACATTGTTCAGACTGGTTGTGGTAAAATCAATGACAATTTATTGAGCAATTAGATACTGATTAATGCCTGCTAGACTGCATCAGCCAGCCAGTTTACTGCAGTCATCCTGTGCTTTCCTTATGCCCAGCACAATAAGAAGGGTGAGCTTTAATCTCAGCCAAACTTGTTGCAAATATGCTGTCTGTAGCAGATGCAGACTATATCATCACTATGGATCTACATGCTTCTCAAATTTAGGGCTTTTTAAAAAAAATATCTAAATGGATAATTTGACCAGGTATGGTGGTGCACACCGGTAGTCCCAGCACTTGGGAGGCTGAGGCAGGAGTATCATTGTTAGTTCAAGGCCAGCCTGGACTACATAGAGAGACCTTGTCTCAATCAATCAGTCAATCAATTAACAATTTGTATGCAAAGCCAGCTGTCCTGATGTGGATTAGGTAGAATTTTTTTGTGTGGT